ACCTGTCCAGGTCTCTGCCTCACAGCCTGTCCCCCGGAGGCCTGTGTCCCATCCCAAAAGGCCTGACCTGTCCAGGTCTCTGCCTCACAGCCTGTCCCCCGGAGGCCTGTGTTCCATCCTGAAAGGCCTGACCTGTCCAGGTCTCTGCCTCACAGCCTGTCCCCCGGAGGCCTGTGTTCCATCCTGAAAGGCCTGACCTGTCCAGGTCTCTGCCTCACAGCCCGTCCCCCGGAGGCCTGTGTCCCATCCCAAAAGGTCAGACCTGGGCAGGTCTCTGTGTCACGATCTCTACTTATTCATTTTTACAAATTGTACATTTTGTTTTCACTTAAGTTTTTAAATTGTAAACATATTAAATTCTCTACCTACATGGCTGAACTCAGTCAACTCACTTCACCATAACGTCTAAATTGGTGAGATGTACTGTCTGATGTTGTTTAGAGTTAAAAGCATTCATAATGCCTTAAATGGTTTTTATCGAGAAATGTTTTGCAAGTTAAGGCGGCATAACAAAAGCCCCCCCCAGACAAACACATTTCCTGTAAAATGACTGGCTATAAATCTGACCAATTTCATCTAATATTAATTTTTGAACCATTTGAATGCTATTAATTTTCCGTAATTGTTTGTTGTATTCATTAATTTATTTATTGTACCGACATGTTCAGTAATAGCCCATTTCATTTAGGAAACATAGCAGCAGGTCATTTCAGTAAGAAACTGGCAATGTATACAATTCATGCTGCAATTCATGTTAAAGTTGGATGTTAATAATTACAAAAAATAGTGCACATCTATGTTATGTATGCATTTACCACGGGTGAGTAAGCAAAGTCTGATTAATTCGTTTAGCTCAATATTATTTTTATTTTCACGTTGTGACGGATGATGCACAATAATCGAAAACAGAGCCTTCATTTGATTTGATTTCACCCCAATTAAACCAGAAGTCCAGCTAGTGAGAGAGCTGCTATCGTTTCTTTCCTGCGATCACATTAGAAGAACGCGCCAAATAGCAGCTTCGTCCAAATACGTGTTCCGTCAGATTTCATGTCTGTTCTTTTCCAGGACACACCGGCTCATATTA